TGTCGAGACTACCAGTTAAACAGTAATATGAGATGTATTTACCATATTTCGTTTAAGGTGATAAAGGACTGGCAGTAGAATTTTCCCACAATTATATGAGTAGAGCTGACGTTTCCATTGAATTTCACATAGCCTTGCTTTCCCAAAAGTTGTTCTCATCCAGAGTGGGCTACAATTTCGACCTCGCATCGGTCTTATCAACATCCCTAGCGGAAGTAGCCGAGTGGTTAACCTTCCAAATTCACATTCTGCACTGTCACGGTTTGACTTTCGCTAGGGGTGTTGATAAAACTGATGCGAGGTTGGAACTGCTGTCCACCCTGGATGATAACAACTTTTGGCAAAGCAGGGCTATGTGAAAATCATTGGAAACGTCAGCTCTACTCATATCATTGTGGGAAAATTCATCACCTTAAACGAAATAGGGTGAATACCTCTCATATTACTGATTTACTGTTAGTCTCGAAACTCAACCTACAAATGTTTTGCGACGGGGACTAGAGCTCGTTGGCTAACAGTAAACGTCTCGAAGCTCTACTTATATACGAAAATTAAGTAATGTAATCGATTGGTATAGTAAAAATACGTTTGCTTCATCGACAATCCCACCAAAGAATGTGACATAGGAAAAAGCCTCGCCTTCCTCGAAATTCACATCTGCCCTGTTATCCAAGGGTATCCGTGGCAATGTGGCTGAGTTTTTAACTTTTTAGGCTCATGCTGTACTGTCACTGTTCGATTCCCGCTGGGGGTTATTATAAGACCGATGTGAGGTCGAAACTGCAGTCCACTCTGAATCAGAACAACTTTTAGGAAAGCAAGCCTATGTGAAATTCAATGGAAATGTTAGCTTTACTCAACTCATATCATTGTGCGAAAGTGCTACTACCTTCATCACCTTAAACCAAATAGGATGAATACATCTCATAACTGATTCACTGGTAGTCTCAAAACTTTACTTATATACGAAAACAGTAAACATGTTTGATCATAGACTTGGTCCATGAAGCAAAGCTTGAAACATGACAATTGCTCCGTCTCTTGGCCTTAAGTTAGTCTTCCAGATTCAGAGAGTGGTAAATAATTCCTCGGGTAGCACAGATAGCTTGGAAGGGGTCGAGTAAAATAGTTAAACCAGGGAGATAGCAGACAGATCCTACAAGGCAAGAGAGAGACTCTGATAATACCTATAAGAGGAAAGATGCGGAACATTATGGTGAACTCTGATCAACATTTCCAGCCCAAGGATGAAGGGAGCTGTGGCGGTGAGAAAGCCAGGTGTGGAGGGTGGATAGTTCTCATGAAATCCGCTCAAAAGGGCATACACATTTGAATAAGCAAGTAATAATTTGTGATAGGGAAGGGGTGATATAAAAATTATTAAACAAGAGATTCCTCGAAACCCAACTTTTCTTTGCATATAATAATTCGCTCCAGCTGGGTCACAACGGTCGCTAATCATGCGGCTTGTTAGTTGTGCACTTCGAGGTAAAATATGATTTGCAGATCATCATTTGCTTTATAAGGAATATTAACTTAGATTGTTGATATTTTTATCATTCATGTAAGTTTATCTCTTTATATCAATGGGGGAATGAAAGTACCCTAAACTGCTGTTTCCTGATAGTTGATATTTGGGCCAAAATACCATGCAGTGATTGTCACGCCAGCACATATTCTTTTTGTCCAAACTCATAATCACTGGTATAAAGCTTATTTAGCCTTTATTATTTCCGTTATAGACCTGCATGTATCACTTGGGTTTGAACTGGTCAACCCAACTGATGGTCATCCAGCTATCACACCGTCCCTGAATTCTCTGAAAAATTCGATCCAGTCAAAACCATTTCTACCTATTCCTGAACCTGGTGAAATGAAAAATCAGTACTTATCTAGTTGGGGAAAACTTCCTGCCACATCCAGCACTGATTTAGCCTTAAGCCTTGTGTCAAAATGTCTTCAGATGACCACAGCTTGGAGCAGAATCGGGGTAAATGGGAGCAGTGCTTGCACTGATGGAGATGCGGATACAACCCAGATTGCTCAACGATCCACATCTTTAAGTCATCATCGTCCAATGAAGCTTGCTCTCCGGGCAGACAATGGGCATGAATCTGTCTTCACAATGCTTAAAAAGTACATAGAGGATATGGGAATTTCCGAATGTCCGAGCATGTCTACCTCTGTTCTTATTCCCAAATCCCCCTCATCTGAGCCGTGCTTGCAAGAAAATGCTAACATAGAGGAGGGGAATTATGTTAAGCAAAGAAATGAAGACATTTGTGGGATGAGTCAATCGGGCAGTCCGTTACCTCGACTGCCTCACCCGTCAGTAAGTGAACCAAGTTCTGATGGTAGTTTCCTCAGGCAGGCGATTCCTGAAAGCTTCCTGTTAGATTCTACCAATCGAAACATGGCAAGCAAGGTTGTAACCGAAAAATCACTTTCACTAGTATCTCCTACTAATTCTTCTTCTAGCCGACTTGACTTTTATCAGCAAAAGCTTTTAAGCTCCAGAGAATCTGTTGACATCTCCAACTCCATAACTCAATTAGCCGGCGCTCTACAGTCCAATTTAGTGGACAAAACTTCTCTGGACTCAAAATTAATTTTGACTGATGATCCGTTTTTCCGTCTGAATACTTATGAAACTCTTTACCCAAACACCCAACTATCCACCACCACTGCCTTGCAAGATTTCGCTAGTTTTACCGAAGCAAACGCGGCATCTATAAGCACAACTGCTTCTGTCTCCTTTCCTACTTATCCTTCTTACCATCACACTTCCACTCCAAGCTGCTCTTCACTCACCTCATCCGGCTCGACTAGCCAGATTCTAGGGCTTTCAAATCAGTATCTCTCTTCGGATAAATTAAGAGGTTCTCCAGACACGACGCCGATGCAAGAGTTGTCTCTGCCTGAAGCAGCATCTGTGGGAGATATAACAAAATGCGCGGTCAAGAAAAAAATCATCATCCGGCCTAACAATAGATTGATTCGTTTAAAACCCTGTGAAGCAGATATTTCAGGTGATCAACAGCTTGACGTAATACTTGGTTTTGGTCAGTCCTCTGAGATGAATAAGAATACCTTGACAAAGTAAATCTTATTATCACACAAGTTATTTATTTATAAGTTTCCTTAATCTTTAGCTTAATGTTTCTAAAGTTTTTGCTTAAATTGTCAAACATCTAAATAACGAATATTCAGCATTTTGACTTTTCCTTTTTTACTATTTTTCACTTTCTTACTCATAACACCTTCCAGATAAACCCATTCTGGGTTTCTCTTAGGTAACTACTTATCAAAAGTCAGTCCTATCTCGAAACTCCTGATATTTTTAATTATGAGGCCGTTCTACCTTTTCTAAGATTTCCCATGGTTAGACTGTGAAATTTAGTTTTCGCCTGTCATCCTACAAAGATCAACAGAACTAAAAACTATTTTCAAATAAATTCGCCGAGCATGGTTGGTGGTTGTTTTTCTATATTCTCCATGTACTTGTCAACTTTTTACGGATTAGATCGTCGCTCTTAGGACGTCCATTACATGACATCCATTCTGTTTATCACCTATTGATTGAAGATTCCTTTTTAATTTTCTCGGAAATGTCAGCCAGAGGAGGGCCCATTATGCTATCTATATATGGTTACTACATCATTCTTACAACTAAATATCTGCTATAGCCAGAAATGTATGTCGTAGATAGATCAATATTTACCCACATGAAAAATGGTTCATTTCAAAGCAGTACTAAGAGTAAGACTTTTAAATATTTTTTCTTATATTTGGCTGCTAAAAGGCCCGTGCCTTGGATAGAGGCTGGGTGAAATTTGAATTTACCCACTGCATTTTTATTAGTAAAAAACTCAAATTCGAAAATCCATGAACGGATGCCCAAGCATAAGATAAATGATAAATACATTTTTCCGTATATCTCATCGAGTATTAAAATCAGATTCTATGTTAGTTTTGTTAAGATCTTTTTTTTGCTAATGAAGATACTTAGTTTGGATCGTTTTAGTCGTCCATAATTTGTTCGTGCTCAGAGACTAAACAGTTTTGTTTTGTGGTTATTTCTTAGTTATCTTTACACTTTACTTTATTTTTACGTTTTATTTCTCTTGAAAAATCAGCAGACTACAATATTCCTCTTGCAATACCGCCGGGCTTCAATGCTCTACAATTTCTGATTGTCGGTCTCCTATAGAGTTTCCTACTTCTTATAAGTCTCCTTGTGGTGTAACCTCACAAAAATTCTCACGCCTTGCAGAGCCTCTGAGTCCTAAATCTTCCGCAGCTGAAAACGATGATGATACCGACTTTCTGATCCAACTCCTGTTGCATCGTGGCTCTCTTAGCTGCCTTGATACTCCTGATTTAAAAGATCAGTTGAATGCACAGCCAACGATATCAGTCACCCGCAACCCAAATGTTAGAGGTCCTGTGGCCTCACCCAATTCTTCAGGTCCTCTATATCACGAACGTATTCATGTGCCGATCACCTCCTTTTCGATAGCAACAGACCAGTCGGACCAAAATCATATGCTAACAAGGACAAAAACAGTTTTGCCTGCAGAATCTTCCTTGGGATACGCAACTTCATTCTCTTCCACATCTTCTTCGATCGACCTGGCTGCCTGCGCATACCGTGCTTCTCTGAAAGCCGGTGCTCATGATACTGCTCACTCTCCAATTGAACTTGCAGATTCATTTGCCTCACGTCCATCATCATCGTCCTTATCGTCTTTGAGCTTTGCTTATGATTACAGTCAACCTCCAATGCCTGCCTGGTGAGTCCTACTATTATGGTCTAATCCCACGACACAGCCTCTTGAAGTAATTGCACTGATTATTAAGGAAATGAGGTCGCGATCTCTTTAAACAAGGAGTTCTTGCTATCCTTTTTCTGAATTACTCCGAACATGGAGTTATTCTGGCATCTCACTTTTTGGTCAAATTTACTATACTCGTTTATATTTAAAGTTTATCTACTACTTTCTCAGCTCTCTCTCCCGCTTTTTGGGGTTGAGAACTTTGCCCTCACCTACAATGCGAATAAGAAAAATACATCCTGAATAAAAATAGGTATGATTACAATATGTAACTGGGCAACTGATAGGTGGATGTCCTAGTTTACATACCAGAAGCTCTTGGTTTTCGATGGATCTCTTGAGATAACATTGTTGCTTAGCCCTTAATCTTGTATGAAAGTGTGTAGTGGGATTCGTTGGTTGATCTCAACTGAAGATGACGAGCGATTCCGA